ACACCAGTTTTTCACGCTCACACTTAGCTCCATAACAGTGCCACCGATTCCCAATCTCAACACACTATTTATATCCGACGGAAAGCGAACAGCAATCTGGAACTCCCATATAACGCCACCCCTTAGATGCGTGAACCAAGCAGCAGCTGAAAACTTTAACTGCTCGATGGAAAGCGACTGCATCTGCTATCCAGCGGAAACGCAGGCTAATTGCAGATGTGAAGACGTAAAAATCGCATCATGGTTCAACAACGTGCAAAACAGGCTACCGATAATCCTCCCTTCGATATCGTTCCAACAAAACCAAGAAGGAGAAATCACCGCAAAAGTCCTCAGTATGACTACAGCAGAAGTGATCTTCAACATTGAGAATAAACTCGAAACCAATATCGTAGTAGATAAAGATATATGTACTGTGGACGATACCGTACTACATGGATGTTATCGCTGCCGCAAAGGATCAAAAGCACAGGTGCGATGTAAATCATTAAGACCTATCCAAGCAGAAATAGCATGCCCTTCATCGACCTTCTCAATACCGTGCAACAACGATGGACAACCCTCAAACTCCAATTTAGCTTCAACCACGCCAGAATCAACGAAAAATGTACAGTCACATGCGGATCCACACCTACTACTTTCGCAATAAGAGGTCTACTAAAATTTACGAGCGTGACTAATGGCTTAGTAGACACGTGGCTGAAAGGACAGACAAACACGGATTTTGAACTCCAATGGCCAGACTTCTGGCACATAGCCGACATATTCATGAATTACTATAAAACACTTATTACTGTCTCTATTCTTCTAATTATAATATTCGTGCTCACCTACGCATGTCTACCTACTTGTACAATCCAAGGATTATATATGTTGAAAGTAATCAAGTTACTTCTACGAATTGTCGGCAGACTAATTTGTCTCATACGCCTAATTCCAAGTAAAAAGTCAACTCCCACGCACACCAAGCTACTGTAAATCGCTCAACATATGGCATATTCCAAACTTCTACTCAATCTGCTCTACTATTCTGCTCTGCTATTCACCATCGTATTTTCGCCGTTTAACAATCCAAAATTTCCACTCAACCTGACCTACTATTCTGCTCTGCTATTCACTACCGTGCTTTCTCCATACAATGCTGTAACATAATATTAATAAACAATTCCAGATGTCAACCAAAATGGACAAGGCTACTCAAACTCCACGAGCACCACACAAAGACGCTACCGCACAAACACCAATCAAAGCATTTCTCCACGCAGCAACACAACGGGAACCGACAACACCAAGCCAACTACCAACACTGCAACCCAAACAAGGCGTTTCCACCCTACAAGACAAGCCGACGTCGCGATACAAACACTGCTCCACAAAGTGCCAGGCCTATCATCAAGGGCGACTCAAACGGCTTGACTCTTCCCCGAACACTGATTCCCTGCGCTCTTCCGAGGCGGCGGGGGAATATAGAGAACATTCTTTACGAATATTGGAATGTTCTCTATGTAAATCAATTACAACCCTATCTCAAACATTTCAAATACTGTTTCCGGTGACCTTATGACGATCTGATAACCTTATGTCAAACATTTTCGAATACGGCTTCCGGTGACCTTATGACGATCCGATAACCACATGGCTAACATTCGTTGGCGGTTATCCCATGAAAAACATCTGCAGTTACAGTCCTATGCTTTGACTATCGCCTTATCAGATTGCAACGCTTGTGAAATGTTTCCGGCAGCTGTCCNCAACACCAAGCCAACTACCAACACTGCAACCCAAACAAGGCGTTTCCACCCTACAAGACAAGCCGACGTCGCGATACAAACACTGCTCCACAAAGTGCCAGGCCTATCATCAAGGGCGACTCAAACGGCTTGACTCTTCCCCGAANGAACACAAGAAATAAGGCTGCGCCTATTCATTACTTGTATCATTGTCGTATTAATTGTACAGTTGTATTGTTATGCCATAGTTGTTGTATAATTATGATAAACGGTTTAATTACCCAAGTTTGAGGTTTCCGGCGTTGTGACTGCTACTTACAAGAAGTCCCGCGTGGCATACACAAAGGCGAGCAGCAAATTGCGACCTAATCATCTTAACTACTTGGTATTCCTATATAATCGAGCCGTCCCACCATAGGCACTGGGAGTCCGATTGTTTCCAGCTCTAATCCTTTGCCTATCATTCTGTTCAATAGGTTTGCCGTGATTCAGATCATCTTACATAATCACACTGATTAAATGTGAAAATATCTTCAATGCTAGCAAATGGTTCTGCATGATAAAACGCTTCTGTGAGAAAGAAGTTTGCAGAAAAAGTATTTCAGGTAAAACTCTATCTGCTTGGCAGGGAGCCACTATAGCTTGTGTTCAATCTTTAACAGTACTAGGTGATTCCCAAATCCAGGTAAATCCAGGTTCTAAGCTTAATCCCACGACCGACACTGATATACAACACTGACCAGCAAAAAAATTGCATGACCAACAGCACGTTGATAAACTAGCGGTGCAGGAATTGAATAAATGTGCATGTTCTAAGCCACCCATCCCCCCGTGATCATGCAATTAGAACCAAACTCGCTAGTCACCAACTTCTTCCCTCAAAACCACAAAAAGTGGAGTCAGCCTTTGATAATTGTCTAAAAGCGCTCCAGCATTAATATTACAAATTTCAACGGAGAACGACCCGACAAGCATTTAACGATTATCAAAAAAAGAGCAAAAATCCTTAAGCAGCAGCCGAACCCACAAATCCGAAGATATCGCACATGACGAATCGCAGAGAACGAACCATGCTCCACATATGATGTAATTAGAAACTGGCTTGACAAAAGCACCAATTTAAGGAGCCTTGGAATTTTGTTCATATTTCTGATGTCTAATTTCCTTGTGGAAAGTTTACCCATGTAAAACGTTTCGTGTAACAATAAAAGTTTATTGTGGAACAAAAGCACAACTACAAAGACTAAAAAATAGATTGAGTTCGACCTGATCATCCATTATACGTTCATCATAAAACATCACAAAACAACATGTCAGTTCGAACATTTCCGATGCTTGTTAAAAATACTGTTCGAGACAGCAACCTGCAACAACTAACGCTGAAGAACACAAGTTATACAATTTGCCTCTTAAATAGATCTACAGCTTACAAAAGAAGAATGAAAATTACCAGATTGTTCTGATATGTCGTCTTCGTAGAGCTCCTTGTGGCGTGAGAGCTTCGATGATGGACATTCGTTCAGTGAAATGCATGCAACGTCAACAACACAAAGCTATGTTAACCTTGAAAATGCAATCTGTTCAAGACACATCTTGGATTTCTTAAATTACACAGTCGAATGGACTAAAATGCTTACTGAGAAGTAGGACTACGCGGTCCACGTCTTCCAGTATAACGAAGAATGGCCCTTAGTAGAAGGACTTCATCCTCATCCACCGGCTCTCTGGTAAGCCTGTAAGAAATTACACTCTGCAATTATAAATGATTGCACTCGTGAATAACCATTAATCTCTAGTAAAATTGTACTCCAAACTGAGGCAATTCCAGAGTGCAGTTGAGTGTTGAAAAGTGTTGAACATTCCAAGTTCATGGATCTGAACTACACAGTGGTAGTGTAGTGACCATTTTAGGGTTATCTCCTTGGCAGCAAGCGTAACCGGGTTTTCACGTGAGTCTCAGCACCGTCTTGACTTGAAAACCATGGAATTTACACTGGGCTCCTCCATCAATTCCTTAATCGAACTATCCACATGATCATCAGTACCGATATTCTTGATATCCTCCCACTGTTGTATCATTTATCGCACTTTGAACTTACTGCCTCTGCTGTGCTATTCGTTGTTTCTGGTTTAAGAAACAATGCTAGTGAGCGCTAAGATGACGAGCACTCGAAAATGCCTCGAGCTTGAATTTCTCTATTCATCCCGATTGCAGTTCATAAGTAATCGAAATCCTCTCTGTCCAAAGGACGCAATAAACTCTGCATTTATCTATAGCAAATTGAAGATAACAGTGGACCATACCTGGACGACTAAACACCGATCATTCGGAAGCTTCCATTATTTGGATCGAACATCCTACTAAATGATATTTCAAGGTGCATTGTGGTGCCAGTGTATTTCATTCCAAATCCTCGAAATCCTTGCCTTTACTGAAGGAATACCTCCAAACACTAGCAAAAAGCGACAAAGTTTGAAATTTCGTTAAATATTACTGATGTATTGCAAAATTGACCATTTCAACCAAGTACAATCTTCAGAAAGCAGGTTTGTAGACATCTCCTTTTCTAAAACGACTGAAGGTACTAATGATTCAGCTATTCTAACGATATCCTCGATGTTTGTTTATGGATCGCCCTTCTCGAAAAATCGCATGCTTCAAACTCTGATTTCCACGGATAGAGATGGCGAAAGCAGCTTTGTTATAACGTTTATTGAAATAACGACGATGTAGAATTTGGAAAGCGAAGAAATTCAAACATTTTTGTCGACAGTTCTTGTTAAAACTTGAAGACAGACAAGTACATTTCGTTTCATAACAACCGCGTCTAGTTCTATAACCAACCTTCTCTTGTGATACATAAAGGAGGAAACTTCGCCTTGCTAACGTATTCCCAATGGAATAACAATACCCACTTTATAAAGAATGTTACTCACCTTCGTACCACAGCAAGCACACAACATTAAACCATCGAGCCATCGTATACTTCGCTTCGAACTGATCAGGTTGCTGGTCGTAAGGGTGGGAATACAAAACAAACATAGAAGATCAACATAGATTGATAAATAGAATTATAAGGAGTAAAGCATTTCACAAAGGACTCACAACAAGAAAACATTGGAATATTTAGTGAAAAAATAAATATAACTCAACAACAATTGGGAAAACTTGTTTTCTACCATCTTAAACTAAGAACCTAGTTTCGTATCGAAATCTAACAGACATGAAAAAATATTTAGAACAAATCATATAAAGAATAGATAAACTATTCATGCAGACCAATCCGGGACTTCTTTGTAAAGTTCGTTGAGATCCTTTTTCCACGTAGTGTTACCAATACCCAGAGTAGCTCTCTTTCCCACCACTTTGACAATACGAGCCGTAGTCCACTTTCCAGTCTTCATGTCTTGAGCAACGACGATTTCTCCCACTTTTAAAGCACGTTGTTCAACGGGTGAGAGATTCCGTAGAGTAATGTTGCCAACTTGGACTCGTACTTCTTTGAAGTCGCTACTTTCCTTCCATCTTTTATAAGAGTCACGAAGTCTAGATCTTGATCGAGAACGTCGAGAGGAACCTCGATCACGACGATCACGGCTACGTTCACGTCGCGACTCTCGATCTCTACTTCGGCTTCTACGGCGTTCGCTGCTTCTCTTTTCCCTTTCTTTAGCTCCTGCCTGACTTAGAAGTTCTTTCAACTCACGCAAGAGGTTTTGCTTCTGACTCCGATCTAGCATATGAGCATTGTCACCTACTTGTGCAACCATCTGAAAAGCATGTGATTGGAAAATAGCAGATAACTCTGCCTCACGACAATTACGTTGCAGATCCAGAAGTTTTTCCTCGGTTTCCTTAACAAGACGTTTTATTTCCTCCATTTCAAAATCTGGAGCTGATGAATAAGAATTTCCCTCAGATCCGTTTAACGTTGAAGTTGTCAGAGGAGCGAATGTAGATGAAAACGAAGGAAACGGATACGCCGAACTCATGAGATTCTGTGACGGGAAACTAGAAAACGGTTGGTCTACTTGGTGCATCGCTTGTTGATATGTCCGCGAAAGTTCCATCTGAAGCTTCGCTCGCTCCTCAAGCTGTACCTTCCTGCGGATTTCCACTTCCAAAGCTCGTTTTTTTAATTCAAGCTCTTTTTGCATACGCCATTCTAGTTCCTCCTCTTTTTGCTTCAGTCGTTTATCTTCTTCCAACATTCGTGCCTTAGCTTCTAACTTCGCCCGCATTTTTTCACCTTGAGCAGCTCGCAACTGTTCCTCAAGTAACATGGGATCACCTGGTGGTCTAGGGCTTCCTCGCTGATGAACCTTACCGAGCATATCAACAGAGCTACCATTGAGTGAAAGAAGTGGTTGTGGCATAACAGCAGGTTCTATTGGAGAAAACAACGATTGTGGTGGGACTCGTCTATGAACCCAGCTTTCGGCTGATTCTGAGTGGCGAAACATCATCTCACGTCGAAGCAAATCTTCCCGTTGCTGAGCAATTTTCTGGGCGATTTCGTCAGGAGTGTAGCGCCCTGCATCGCTTTCCATGTCGTTGGAACGATCGTATCTTTCAGTGAGATGGTCACGTTCATCAAGATAGTCCATCCTAGGATTACGAGGTGGTGGTGGCGACCTAGCTCGAAATCTCTCCCTACTGTCACTACGACCTTCTCGGCAGTACCTCTCGATATGACCGTACAAATTGCAACGGCGACAGAATTCCATCTTCTCCTGACTGTCATTAAGACGAGTAGCCACCGACCCGTTTGTTGCCATCTAAAGAAAAGCACGCGACTTACGTAGATTTAAAAGCACTAAAAGCTTCAATGTCTTTATGGATGTAGCGTCATAGCCGAAAAATGAGCAAAAGAAAGCCACAGTCCATTTCACATAATGTGTACAACACCTCATATAGTACGAAGCACCACTAAAGTAGAAGTGTCAAAACATAGCTAATAAAAAGTGGACTGCTCACTTGTGAGTTGTGATATTCGTTTCTGCGATGTTCACGACCACGAAAATAGATGTCGTCCATAACCTTAACCATCCAAATAAATATCCTGTTAAAAAATGAAACAAAAGCAATCAGCACCGCAGTGAACACAGCCCTTAATCGGTCGAGAGTATCTGGTTCCAACTCTCTAGCGATGCAGAGGTCCCATGGCCAATTTTCTAAAATTAACCATTTGAAGTGAAAGAAAAGTAGAGGTTTTCAGCCCCTCTATGCCCTTATATCCTCTATTCTCTATATATTACAGCCTCTATGAGAATGCCTTGCATTATACTTAAAAGATCTCTACACTTTCTCTCCTTAAAAACAAACAGCACAAAGCGCTAGAAGATTCAGCGCTTTGACAAAATCAGTTTTTTTGCTGTTTTGCTCTACGCTTCTTTGCTTACAAATTTTGAATCCATTATTTTCAATATGCAATACAGTTTTTACCGTGCTCAATATAAATTACGACAAGGTATTCTTCAGTGTTGAGATGAACAGACCTATTGCCAACAATTACTGACAACACAGCAGCACTACAGTGATGAGAATCGCCCAAAATATAGCTACTGGTTCGAAGAAACAATTATTTATCAAACTTTATTCTATGCCATCACCTCAGAAGGAATAAGTGAAAAACAAATGATAACCGAGTAGTTTTAGAACACAAGAAATAGCAAAAAGTTGTCAGCAGACCAGAAACCTAGTGAGTGAATAATGCCCTGAAAGGGTGATCAATGATCACGGACAGACGACAAGTTATGAGTACACCATTCTCACCACACTGCGGATGTACATTGAATACACGAGATGTTTGAAAAAAGCACTGTACCAAAACAAACCAAGGGGAAGAATAATCCTATTTTTTAAATGTTATTTTATACGACCCGTCTTCACACCTACTGATCGCTCACATTCTCACATCCCTCATCCACTAAGGTCTTCCAACATTCACGTATGGCTTCGGCTCCTGGAATTTTCCTTCGCTATGAATGAAATTGCAAGCTAGCCCGGTCGATTCTCACTGGAGTCCTGAGATAGCAAAGCTAGAACGTTTCCAGTTGGAATGCAGAGAGTGATTTTTCCCGTAATGCAGAGAGTCCGGATCCAATTCCGCGACAACGGACAGATGTGAGACTGGGTGAGCTCGGAGCAGGAATGAACCACCACCGTGCTTGTGATGAACAACACTAGTATTGTACTATCCATTCCTCGAATAATCTCGGTATAAGCATTAGTGCCCAAGTTAAGAAGAACGATAACATAGAAAGCTGCAGAAGTTAAAATTCCGTTGTCGCGGAATTGGAACAGCAAAGTTTCAGCAAAGTTTTCAAACCTTAAAAAATCCATAAGAAGTGATAGAAATCGTAATCACAATCCTAAAACCTTACTACATAAATGCTCGATTGTGTGGAAGCCTCATCCATATCTTATGCAGATTCAACTCCAAAGAAGAAAAAGTTGAATGTGACCACAATACTCACGTAAACACCGGATTAAATCCATAAGCTAAGACATACTTTACATCGTTATCATTAATAAAACAAAGTGTACAACAACCAAACATAAACGACGTTAGTAGCGACATAAAGCTCTGAAGTCACGCAACAATAAGAAGTGAAAAACTCTCTTACCACTGGATATTTTCCTATCGAGGTCTACAAGCGCATCCACAGCCAATGAATAGTCTCTTCTTGGAAGTTCTTTCTGAAAACCTTTCCTTTTAGAGAGGTAGCTATGGTTTCAGAACCAGATATGGTACTCACTACTTAGTCACCATACAAGTTTAATTCCAACGAGGACTTCAACGTTTGAAGTAAAATGTAGACATTGCAAAAAGCCACCTTTTTGAAAAATGGATGATTCCCTATGGACGTATGCAGTGCCTCCGTAATTAACCCTATACGGTAGCATTTATCAATTAGATCCTTTGCGGCAGCGTTTCTCGCAAAACTTGACCTGAAAGCGGACTATCTACATTTAGAAAAAGATTAAAAACCCGACAGATTGATTCACTTATGTCCGAAACCACTGCCAAAGAATACGCTCGGAGGAAGGCCAGTAATTATCATATCACAGTGAAGAAGTTCATCCCTGTCAAATACACCCGCAGGAAGTATGATGCGCGACTTCTCCGCATGTGTGGTTGCTGCAATAGGAATGTTTGATTAATTTCCAGAATGACTTTTCAAGGAAAAATGAGTGTTTTAAAGAGAACATGTAGCAAGTTGAATTATGGATGTATAAGATGTTCTTACACCCATGTCCTCGTTTATATATAACACTCGAGACGACAAATTAAACTATGGATTAAATAAGTCCCTTTATTTTCACTTTTCATTTGCTGCCTACTAGAGATTTTCACGGCAGGGTATAATCTGAAATATAACCACAATGGTGCTGATATATTTACAAAACTTCGCACAGCGGATATCTGCGGTGGGGAAGGTACATGCTATTGCCCTTTCCGGTGGCTAACGCGTTCACCACCACACTAGGCCGGTCTTTTGTTTCGCCTGTCTCTCAGCCAGTTTAAGTTTCGTTCTTTAGTTCCCCGAATTTATTTTTTAGTTTAACCTTTTTTAAGCGTTGAATTTAAGTACCTTTACATTGGCAAGTACCTTAGACGCTGTCAATTGTGTACATAAATAATACATTCAAAACAAACATACGTGTAATCGTCTCACTGACTCTCTTCGACAATGGCGATTTGCTTAGCTTGAAAAGAATATTATTGCTTTCTTCCAACCAACATCGAAGGAACTAAAACTTCACATTTATAGCACTGATGTTAAAGTTATTCCAGATAACAAGAACTATTGTTGTAATCATTAAATACAGACTAGAACTTGGAAAATATACATCAAATTTAATTTCAGCAAAGACGATAGTTCTTCCTTTTCCACAAAGTGGGAAATAGCGCGTCAAGTGGGGAACAGAAAAATGAATTAGAATTAACACCATGTACATATATATTAATAGTATGTCACCTTCCAGTTATTGACCAGAGTACGGTATCAAGAAATAAGGACTTTTTAAATTGGAGAGAACACTACAATGAGTTATCTCACATAACAGACAGAAATCCTTGTATCCATAATTTTTGGTCTAATATAAAGGCCATTTTCAATTAGCATATTAGTAACATTTATTTACAAATGCTATTGAATTGTCAGAAAAGAAAGTAGCGGGCAATACACACGTCAATGGCCCCCTACTAGCAAAAACGCGCTATAATTTACAATACAATACAAAGGAGAATAGGTACCACTCGATGCAGTTTCTTACTTCGTAATAATTGACATATTCGAACACAATTCCTTCACGAATACGTCCCTCCGAAGGTGCCATCGACATTTCACTAAACAATGAATTTATGAACATACAAACATCTATATAAGTATAAATAGGTGTGCATACATGTATCTACGTATATGTATATATATATATTCCGTAAAATTACCATGTACATATATATTTAAAGGAGAGTGCGCATAACGTAGTGGTCGGAGACGCGATACAATACACATGGGATCAATCCCCGCGCCCCCAGGCCCATCAAGTCTTTCATCAATTCGGAGTCGCTGAATTGGTACCAAACTTGTCAAGGAGGATGGCGGCACTATTTCGTTACAACGGCAGGCCACCGCGAGTCATTGTAAAGGCCAGATATGCATTCAATCACCTCCAACGATGCTTAATGAAGTCAAATGTATGGTGCATCCCTGGGGAAGTGATCAACGCCGACAGTTTTATTCATTATATATAACTTGAACACTAGTTAATAAGCGTATAAAGACATGTGAAGGCGAAATTAGAACAAAAATTCAGAAAACACAAGCTAAAGTGAATCTCTAAAGCGTACCGCTCAATCGAATTTCGATGTCGCCCTCGATGCGGATCAAAGTCGGTGTCAATGAAACGCATGGGGTTGATTTCTTCGTCATCCGAACCGTTGCTTATTTGCTGAAGTCGTAAAATCGTAACTTGGTCAATTGAGCAACATTTCTGACAGAAACAAGAAAAGTAAGGCGCTTGAAAATCCAGTTATGTGAATTACCATATCCACAGCTTCAAAGTCATTATGCTCAAATGGTGGTGGTGGCCTTCTCCTGTGTTCACGATCGCGGGAATCGCGAGAACGATGTCGTCTAAATGTTTTTCAGATGAACCAATCATTCCATTGTAGTAAAACAATGTGAGTACACAGCAGATCTATGGAAAAGGAGAAATCTGACCGCGACATTCAGCAGTATATTTTTTTCCCCACAAAATAATTGAATTCACTCAAAGTTTTTTTTAAAACATTTAAGATATACCATCGGGCTACGATTTTTTGGCAAATTAAACCCTTCCCACTTAGCTGATAGAAAGAGTAAACGAAGGACGAGAATGGCTTAGTGCTGAACGCGTTACTCCAGGAAAGCGTAGTAGCGTGTTCTACCGCCACGACAGACACCTGCTGTCCGGAATTTTGCAACTCAACGCCTTTTCGTATTATGGCTTTCGGAAATGAATGTTGAAGTTGCACTTTCCTCTTTCCACTTCTCTTATGTCTTGGAAAATATTCTATTGCTTCGAATGCTGTACTATTTCATGTCACTGTAAAGCTTATATCATGCTCATTCGCTCGGTGTACTTGGATTACGGTATAGTTTGCGTCAACAACAAACTTTAGAGGTAAAAATGTTATGTATTCTTTCTTTGATAAGCTTACATAAGGATGATATATAATCTTTAATCGGCTAACGTCTCGACGTCTTCGTCTTCAACAGAGCCGATGATCCGAGTCCATGGTCCACAGCAAGAATTTAAGATATCAAAATGGCAATTTCGATAAATCTGCTTCCACGACTTCAAACAGACGTACGCGACCCAAGCGGCGCAGAACACTACTTAGGTATGGGATCATGGAAGTGCTAACGAAAGCACACTGCGACGTTACCTTTGAAAAATTCGTCGCAACGAATTTCACCTCGGAGATGAGGGAAGTCACGGACGCCCTTCTGCTACAAGTGATGACGAAATGAGTGCTTTTGCGAGAGCAAATAAATGCACGACTGTTCCAGAACTTGTAAAAGCACCCAGTATAAGCACCCAACTGTTTCCGAGCATCTAGAGAAAACTGGAAAGTCGGAGAACCTCGACGAATGGATGCCACACGAAATGAATGATAATCGAAGGAATCGCCGTGTCAACGTGTCGTCGGTCTTACTTCTACACAACCACTACGGTATACTTTTGAACTACACTTCGAAGAAGTCTTATGAGAAATATAACCTCTATGACAAGCGGCAACAATCCACTCAGTAGTTGAATGGCAATGAAGCTCCGCAGCACTTCGTAAGGGCGAAATTGCACCAAGAAAAAGTTATACTGAGCTTTCCGTAATGTACAACTGACATGAAGCATTACAGCTTCAAGAATTCGGGTGAAACGATTGCGGCCGACGTTTGCCCAGCAAATCGCTGAAAAAAGATCAAACCCTCCCAATGGTTGCGCGCGGCCATACGACGTGCTGCTCAACGCTAGCTGGGCTTTGAAACTCTGCCTCATTAATCAACCGTGTTTACTAGAACTCTCGCCCACCGAATAGCACTTTTTCAAGAATCTTCACAACTTTTCCGCATGATTCTATGCTTCGGACACCAAACCGAGGACGAAACAGCTTTCAACGATTTCATCGCGTCCAGAAGTCCATCATTTATTGCAACAAATTAATCGGCTTCACGTTGACAAAACTCTACAAATTTCAATCGTCTTTAATCCGACAAGCAAAGCTTATTCTGAGCTGAGATATGGGACTTCAAAAATATGGATTTGAAACTGACAACATATACGATACGCCTAATATATACTGTGCAGCTATGAGCATAGTACCTGAAAGCACTTGGGCTTTCCCTTGCCATTATGAGTTCAACCAATTCTAAACCACTAGAGAGAGTCTAACGATTAATAGCTTTCGCACGATGTAATGAGAATCATACTGTTCAGCAAACCCAGTTCTTTTGGGAGTTACTCCAATTCCAATGATTTAAAATATGACGCTTTTCCAAACTTTCAGCGCTTCTAAAGTAAACAGCGTGCTACTGGGACCATATAATTTATTCTCAATAAGTTCACATGTTCTAATTTGACATGAACACGAGGGAAGACAAAAATGGATATGATGCGCTGCTCCAACGATAACCATTTGAAATGTTAGTCAATGCAGACCCACTGGCAATGGTTTGGCAGGTTGTGAGCGAATAAAGTATAACTGAAACAACAGCTCCGTAAAACTTGAACCGGACTGGCAAGTCAGTTGAACTTACTATAACGTCTGGAATACCAGTAAAATCATATCAGCGCGGTTGTATTGTCAGAGAAGTGAGAAATTAATCAGGAACTGTAAAGCGTTCAATCACCATTGATCAATTGAGAAGGAACCAATCATGTTGTCTAACATATCCGAACATATGTGGGACAACAAACACTGAAAACGCCGAAAGAACCGAGATATGGCCAAACATATTCGTCTGCCTTAGGCAGTGCACTTGGTACACCTTCTCAATGCAGATGTATTAAACTTAAAGTAGAATTAGTCTTAGTAGCTAATCGACTACAACTTTTTCAAACGACTGCGCAGTGAAAAGTTAGTAATATCTTCAACAAATAAGCTGTCGTTGGAAGCCTCTTCCAAGGGCTAGTGGGTTTTGCATTGCTATAACACTACCACCGTACCGCATAGTGCGTGTAGCGTAGTGATCGGAGGCGCCCTGTAATACAGAAGGAATTGACCCCGCCACTGTGACTCACCGAACCTTCCACCTCTCCGGGGTGGGCAAATTGGTACTAGACTTGCCTGGGAATATAGCAGCACTGGCTCGATGCATCGGTAGGCCACCGCGAGTCATCGTAAAGGCCAGGTATGTACTATCTCTTACCACTGTACAACTATCGAAGTCAAACTCTGTTAGCAACGATGCATACACTTCAGTGATTTACATAATGATTAATAATCCGGAAATAACTCTCGGTAAAATAACATAATAGTAAACGTCTCAATAATCCACATGAATACGACCCCAGTGGCGCACTTGCGTATAAGAAACGTAAGGTAACACAAAAAAACGAATATTAAGGTTTTAAAAGAGTTAGCACTCCAATAGGCAAGTAGCCGAAAGTTTAACTGCAATGTAGGAAGATGCTGCTTCAACAATTTTCTAAATCAATGTTAAAGAGGAGACCACGAATGCTATAAACTTCAAATATCTGCCAAATCTGCCATTCTCATGGATTCATTCAATTTATTCTAATTGGAAGAATAAAAAGCTAAGGATAAATCTCTTATCGTTGGTCTATTCCTGCGAGATGCGCCATGCATTCAACTTCATTAAGTATCGTTGGAGGTGACTGAAAGCATATCTAGCTTTTACAATGATTCGCGGTGGCCTATGAGGCATCGAGCCAGTGCTGCTATACTACCAGACAAGTCTAGTGCCAATTGGCCACCCCGGAGAGATGAAGGCTTGATGGGCCATGGGCAAGAGGACCGATCCCATGTGTATTGCAAAGCGCCTCTGACCATTACGCCTTTCGTCTTCAATCGGAAGAATATAACTGTGAATTACACAACAATATAAAACAACAAAGTCCATGGAATAAACTGTCAGAACGTCTTCTATACATATATATATATACCATTCTTACCTGTGTTAACATATGCTATTCAGTGCCAATGAATGAAGAAACAGTAGTATGAAAGATAAACTGTAATGCAGAAGAGAACTTACCTTCTTGGAGAGGAGTCCCGTGGCCTGATGGTGAGACCACGACGATCAACTGACCTCCGTCTCATTGTACTGCAAAGTAGGACATTAAGGAAGTTAAGAACTAAACGTTAACGTTAAGATGTTAAGGACATTAGTTACGAAAACCAATAAAACAAACAACTTACTAAAAATGAAACTTGTAACTAATCTAAGTTGGTCCACTATCTTATTGAAATCCCGAATTCACCATACCGTGAATGGCTGTCCTGCTAATCTTTTCGATTCGAGCACATTATCTCATCGTTATAGCTGCTTGGCTATATCATCTACACGATTTGATTGTCTGCTTCATTTATCGCTACTTTTCTTACTGGTGACCTCTAATCTTTTAAAGAGTTACTTAATCTGTTACTTTTTCTGCTACAAGGATGGTGGGTATTCCCGTTCTGTCGACGCTAACTCAATCGCGGATCGAGGAAGTGCTGTCACATCATGCCGATCCCGAATCATTAAATCTACCTGGAGGTCATATGCGACTGCTCACGGTGAAACCTCAGTCACAGGACGGTCCGCAGTAAGTTTTTAGCTTTATTACGTTTATATTTATCATGTTCCTCCTAAAAGTTTATTGCGTCATCGTGGCGGACGTGTTACTGGGTGTCGTGCTGCGATGTACAGCGGGGGATTCATCCCTTGACAGGATCTCCCATGATGAGAAGTCCGGCGTATCCGTCAAGAAGTCCAAGTAACAGTGAACTAATACCAGGATCTACCACCGTCCTGGTATCAAACGTCTCATAGTGGCAAATCTCCCTCTGATCCGCAAGTGCGGCGGCTGTCTGTGGCGGTGACGACCTAGGGTAGACTGGCTAACCTGACCTCGGGATTCCAGGGAACCACAGTGGTCCACTAAAACCTCGAGAAAATAGAAAGTATGTTGAGGCTCGCACAACCAGTGAACACGAGCCATCGAACTATCTACATATATTTATCATGTTGCTTACGGTGGTGGTGGTAAATGAGGTAGTGTTGATGTTTCTTCATTTTAATATGTGGTCTTGTTGCACTTTCAATGGCTGTCGAATTACTTGGGCTACAGGAAAGACACATTTCGGAGATCTTCGAAAGAGCCAAGAAACTCGGACTAACAGCGTATGGAGAAATGTTCTCATGTAAGTTTGTGATTGTTTAAGGTTATGAGACCATTCTTGTCTCCCTCCTTTATGCTTTCCCTCATTCCTTACCGTCTTTAGGCTTTCCTTCATTCTTTACCCTATTTCAAGGTTCCTTCCATTCCATACCATCCTTCGAACTTCCCTTCATTCCTTTACTTATATTTTTCTGGCTCCTTTATGCGTTAAGTATAAAGTAGCTCAGGAACTGCAAGTCTTGTAGAGGTCATGTTCGTGTAATGTTACGCTTTTTATTACCAGTGTTTCTTGCACCAAAAACCCTTTGATCTTCCTGATTAGTGCTATCCTGTCTTCTAATTACTCAACATATTCCACTATAAGCCTAACTAGTATATACGAAAGACAAAGTAGATGGCATTAAAGAGCCTTAAGACCCTTTTTTCAATATGTGTTTTTTTTTGATGAACTTACACGAAGTTGATAATGATGTTTATTTTCGGCTAACGTTTCGACGTCTTCGTCTTCCCCAGAGCCGATGATCCGAGTCGATGGTCCTCGCTTGTTATTCGTCTCGACGTGGCAGCATCACGTGTATAAAAGGGCATCACCGAGTAAGGATGCCTCATTCGAGGAGGTGGCTCACTGAAGAAGACCTGACTCGACACGAAGGCGAAGCTGCCACGTCGAGACGAATAACAAGTGATGACCATTGACTCGGATCATCGGCTCTGAGGAAGACGAAGACGTCGAAACGTTAGCCGAAAATAAACATCATTATCAACCTCGTGTAAGCTCATCAAAAAACGAATACATATTGATTAGTGATACCGAGGTTCAAGGAAAGTCGGTTCCGAAATATTACTACCTTTTTTCAATATTTCAACATAACAAAGTATCTTATATATTGGCTGGACAGTTAAAGGAAACGCTTGATTCCGCCAAAAAGGAATATCTTTTTAGTCTTTTTAAAACTTAAATTTCAAATCAGCCAATAGCCAGTGACCTTATCTCTGATCCGGCGCACTAAGAGAAGTATCACGAAAGCGAAACGCCCTCATTAAGCTTGCTCCTAAATTTATTACCACTTCCTTTAGTTCTCCATCCCATGTAGTCAAAATATTTTATTTTCCATAATCTCATGGTCCTGATCTAATTAAGCAGTTATTTATTGCTTGCGTTTACTCAAATCTGGTCAGGATTCTTCTCTGATGAGGTACAACCTCTTGTTATAGTAGTTGGCGATGAGCATACTAAAATTCCCTTTGAGAATTTTCGTGATGGCGTCTTGATCAGCGGCTTCAGTGGACTGGGTATGAGGAATGGTATATTAACTTGTATAATTACATGGTTCCATCTTTACTGGTTGTGCGGACTTCATCATAATTTCACTTTTTAGGAGTTTCACTGGTTTAGCTATTGTGTTTGACTGGAGTCCCGAGCTCAGTGTAGCCAAAGTCTGTTTCAGGTCGTCACCACTACAGGCAGCCACTGCCTTTGTAAATCAGAGGGAGATTTTCCACCATGCGACTTCGTTTCTAGCTGGACTTCCTGATGGAAACGCTGGACTCTTTCTCTGCTTGCGAGACCCTGCTGGGGTATGAATCCCCTCACTATAAATCGCAGCCCAACACCCAGGAACACCTCCCAGCCACGATGAGGCGGTGAACTGTTGGGAGGTGAGGAATGCTACAGTATTTGAAATTAAGTTTGACATTGATCGCAAATACTCAAGGAGTTCAATTGTCAGATTTTATCATCACAAACTCTCCCAACAGTTTATCGCCTCATCGTGGCTGGGAGGGTACCTGGGTGTTGGACTGCGATGTACAGCGGGGGATTCATCCCTGGCAGGATCTCCCATGTTAAGAAGGAGTCCGGCGTTTACATCAGGAAGCCTAGCTAAGAGTAAACGAATACCAGGATCCGCCACCGTCCTGGTATCAAAGTCGCATGGTGGTAAATCTCCCTCATCCACAACGGCTGCGACTGCCTGTCGTGAAGACCTGGGACAGGCTTTGGCCAGACTGACTTCAGGACTCCAAGTAGCCATAATGGTTTAACCAGAAAGTCGCCGAAAAATGGAGATTATGCGGAGGGCCATCACAACCAGTGAGGACGGGCCATTCAAGTATCAAGTATCATCATAAACCAGGATGGCCGATTAAAAAATGTGTTATGTCAGCATTTTATTTGCTGTTCACTACAAAAAAAACGAAAGGGTATTACGTGAAATGCAGCCACAGTGGTGCTGAGATATTTGCAAGACTCCGAACCGGTGTCTGTGGTAGGGATCGAACCCGCTATTACCTTTTTCGGCGACTGAAACGTTCACCACCACACCATGTGATACTTCATTTCGCCTGTCTCTCATCTAGTTTTCTGTCTACCAATACCATCAGCAAAATCTCTTACTTTATTGTTTTTACAAAAATTTACTACTGTGTAATTCTAAAGGGATTCATAACATGATAAGCACATTACTGGCATCTATATAGATTCATCCGGCACAGTGGTTCAGCCTGGTATACCTGGCACTGCCATGTAAAAATTATTATTAAGGAGGTTCTTCGGGATGTTTCCTTTCCTTTCCTTTTTTTGAAATGCCTATAGATTTCACCGAGGCGGTCATTGAAAGGAGTGTAAGACGGCTTCATTTCTCCGCCGCACCCTTGGTTAATGAGAGGTATTTCTTCACAATTTTAGGTACATTCAATATATCTTGGAGCATTTTTCTGGTTTCCTATAAAAGCGTATTTCACTGTCATTATATAAAATAGCTCTTTTTTGTTTCCAATTTTACATTTATTTTACATGACCGCTCTTCACATCTACTGTGTGGAACCCAGCACTTCTTGAGTTCGATTCGTTTCCTCACATCCACCATATACGAACAGCTTCAAACTTTTCGTATGTGGGTTTGGTTGCATGATTCCACCAGGAATTCTGAGGTAGCCGGGCTGTAGCGTTTCCTTTTAGACTGAATAGAGTCAACTGTTCCCAGACACGTCTAATGCCAAAGACGCTGGTTGAGCTCCGTACCAGAGCCACCAGGTCTTCCATCATTCCGGAGTCAAGACATTGATGCTAGAGCTGTCTGGAAAGATCCCTGCGGTCCATAAAACCTACGTTGTATTAGTTAGTGCAATGAAGTAGTAGAATGGTAGCGTCACTCGGCTTGTTGTGTTGAGCGTGGATTTTGATTCGGATTGGCCAATACACTGAATCATAAGTTGGTGCAATGGAATGTAGTCGGATCAGTCTTGGGCACAGAATATTTACTAACTCGAACTAGAATGTTCGACACTGTATGAGTTTGCCACGCGGGACTTTTTGACATAGGCACGGAGAACAACCTTATAAATGTTTATAGTTGTAACAACAATACAATGTACACAATCTGACGATGGTTAGTTGATCGAGTGGGGACGGGCGAACTTGAGCTAAAGTTGAGTGAACACTTGAAAGAAGCTGAACAAAACAATGGAACACTGGAGCTGAGACATTGGAGAACGGAGCCACCGGAATGCCGGAATAAACGGACACTGAGGCACTGGAGCTGAAATTGGGACCTCGACAGTGACTCCATGATTAGTAGTGTTCCTCATATTCCTTCTGTAATGGATGGGGCTTTGACAGACGCAACTAGAAACAGTGCTCAGAGAGAAGTTCTAAAGGTTTTTCAGCTAGTACAATCTGATAGAGGTACTAGCACAGAAGGTTTGTGAAGTCTATGGCATAGCTTATACAGAAACTACATGTTAAAACGCGCAGCTGCTCGTATGGAAAGTTCATCTGGAAAGCGACACAAAAGCTAATACAAAAACTTCATATGAAAACGATGGAATAGCTTGTACAAAAGCTTTAACAAAAAGTACATGTGGAAGCGCTACAAAAGTTTATACAGACTGTTTATGTGAATGCGGTACAAAGCATGGAAGACAAGGGTAAATGTAGCCAGCAGTAAGCATAGTTGACATGGGAGGTATACGGTAGGATTTGAGGCAGAATCGATGCCACGACCATTCAACGACATGAAGAAAGCCAAAAATCCTCAAACAGCAGCCTAATCCGCACGCAAAATCCGATTACCTTTTAGGATGCTGATGCTAAGAAACGTGACGAATGCAAAAAGTGCTAGGAGGTACACATGTTATGTAGGTCCGTTTAAAAATTTCCGCCTCAAGTTTCCCGTCTTTCGACAACCACCTATGAAAAAGAATAGTAGACGAAAACACGAAACAAGGTGTCCACGATTTTCCCTTTAGGGCAATTTGTGTTATTTGTATGGCTGTTTTACGATCTTTCGCTCTAAAAAGTGTAGAAAGCAAGATTCGTTATCTTATCTTACTCATCACTGTTGTTGACATGTCGATTGAATCTTCTGGTCTGCATAATTTATTTCTATAGAATCCTTCCATTTTACTAAAAAGGTGTTTGGCTTGTAGGTTGCATGTCCTTTCTACTTTACGGTAAAGGTTTTCCAAAAAAAAATTATAGTCTCAAATCCCTATATATGGGTTTTTTCGACATGAATTCTTGTGATCGTTACATGAAAATTTATCAAAAAAATGTGAGACTGTAGCCAAATATCACCGCAATAGTGAGCACTACAGGGTTTATCGTATTGTATGTGTATTTTTAGCGCAGTGGTTATGTCAGTTAGCGTCATCTTTGTGGCCGTTATACTCCGAAGTGACTTCGTTCCCTGATCCGACCACATTAATCAGATGGATGGAGTCTGGTTGTGCCTTGCTAATACCTTATGACTGTGACAAGAATCACGAACCGGCGCTGAGAGGTGGCCATGGAGCTCATTGGTCTCTTTTGGTAGGCACGGTTACTTAAACTGCTCTTAAACCTCGAAATCATGAATTTGCTTGTCTTAAAACAGGCTAGGATGTCATAAGCCTTTTTTCTGGATAATCTATGAGCTGTATATCTAAAAAGTGCATTGGTAATGTGGTGTTCTCTGATGAACTCTACACAAATCCTGTAGATGTAATGAAAAATTTTCGAGCTTAGTGAGCAACAGCGGAGGTTTATTACATGTGTCATTTGTCAATTCAAGAGTTTGTAATTCTCCCCAGGCAATACCACAGGGGACACGGATGATGCAGTTGCGATGATCAGAACCACCAATACACTCAAGTCGCTGCTCACTGCCTCTAATTCACGAAAGGTGGCGCTAATTTGTGATGAATATCAGGGAACGACCTAGGACAGTTATCTCAGAGTTCGAAGGAGAATTGAATTAACCACATTCATGAAGAAAAATAGAAATCCTCAAACAACAGCAGAACTCACAATCATAGTCTGATGAGCTTTATGGATGATGGATACGAGGAAATCATTCGAATACAAGAAGTACTGGAATCCACACAACATGCGGTGTCGGGTAGTTTAGAGAGGTTCCATAGCCGTTCTCTGTGTTTTGACGGTTGAAAAGTATTTGCACTCAAACGATTCGCTCAATATTAACAAATTGACAAGTTTTACCATTGTCTCTATTGCTGAATTAGACTATGTAAATGAAGGTAGTACGTTTCTGGTAAAGGAAGTTTAGCCTGTTAGCCGAATCAGCAAACAAAAGTGTACCTGTTTTTGGACGTTAGAGGGTAAATTTTTAAGAGCAATAATAGTATTACCAAGGAATTGAAACGTGCTTGCGTATTATCTCTCCTATAGTGCTTTACAGGGTCCATGTAACGCAATGGTCGGAGGCGCCCTGCAATACACATGGGATCGATTTCCCCCTCCGTGACCCATTAAGGCTTCCATCCCTCAGAGTTCGGCAAATTGGTACTTGACTTGTCTGGAAGGATAACAGCACTGGCTCGATACATCGGTGGGCGACCACGAGTCATATCAAAAGCCAAATATGCATTCAATCGCCTTCAGTGATGCTTAATGAAGTCGAATGGAAGGCGCATTCCTCAGGAATTGGTCGACGCTGAGAGCTGTATCCTTTCTCCTTTTTTACCGTGCTTTATTTGTATTTATAAAGCATGAAATTTGCCGAAATATGTTTCGATCAGAAAGAAGTCAATCGTTTTTGGTGGCGTTGTGGCTGTTTCGTTTTAATGTTGTAATCTGGTAGATTTATACTTAAAAGCTCCGATTTGACAAGGTGGTGCGAAGAATACTGGCACACTAGTACAATCAGCGATGCAAAGTACGAACTTAGTGTGGGTATTTGGTTTTTTTTTGTTGTGCAATAAGGTTGAAATGAGGTATAGCTCTACGACGTCTGCAACGATCATCTAATTTCCTTGCTATCTTCCGTCTATGAATTCTTCACTCTGCTCATCCTGAACAGGATTAATAGAGCACTACACGAAAGACAACCATGTCAGCAAGCAGTGTTTCGTAAATTCGTGAAGAATTCAGTATGATAAATTACATCTACGTAGCAACGAGGCTCACCGAAGTATCGCAAGAGCATAGAGACCGCTCGGTTTCACATTCATCAACTTGAAGAAACCTTTCGACTCAACTGAGAAGCAGTTATGGAAGCTATGGACAGCTAAGGCGTCACTCCCCTGTATATACAAATTCTTCTTGAGCCACATTAACATTAAGCCACATTCATAACCAAGATTAACGTAAAGAGAAGGGTTTGACAGGGATACTAACGCACCGAAATTGTTTGCAACCGTCTTCGAGATTTTTATGCGAAAATTGTAATGGAACAACATGGAAGTGAAGGTCGATGCTCGGCAATCACAGTATTTTCGCTCTGCTGATAATTTCTTTCTTGTATCGTTAACCAGTATTCATGCAATACAAATGCTAGCTGACTTCGACGATGATTGTGGAAAGATCACTCTTTTGCTGAATCTCACGAAACTGATGTTCTTAGGAAGCGGATTTGTGATTTCACGCTCAGCAGATTGAAGTTCTCCAAATGAACTACGTTTTTTCGGGTGGGAAGGATAATATGGTGGATGGCTTTGCTCCACAACTGAACGTAATAAAGCGAGTGACTTGGGGGGTCTCAAGATCATCGACGTTATTTTGAAGAAGACTAAGAACGTTTGACTCTGTGACCACTTTTTCGGCTACGCGAGTCTTCCTACCTTAGCGTACATGTCGGAAACTTGGTAGTTACATAAGCTGGATGAAAGATCACTACACGTTTTGGAAAGCGCAGTCAGAAGGACGATGGAGAGAATACCCATATCATGCAAATGAGAGGCGGAATTCGAAGTTCCGAGTTAAACCTGCGATCAGAGACTAGAGGGATAGATAGTCAGAGTTCTTCATGAGGACTTTAGAAAAAGAATATGATGCTCAACGAGTCCTGAGAAAGAAAAGAACACACTGCTCTGCTTTTGCACGATCATTGGAACTTTCATGCGTGGTTGCTTGACTCACGACGACAAAGAGAGGAGAGTTGAAATACTTCATTTGTTCGGAGATAGTAGTCCTGTTTCCAATTCTTCCTATTGTTCAATGGTTTAGAAAAGCAGTCTTTACACTTAGTTAACGATGGTGGCTTTTTGAACATTGCCGACAACTTTTCAATGGCTAGAAACTTGGGGATTGAGAACTTTTCAGGTTAACAAAAGATACTTTCCTTAAAGTACTGTTTCAATTTTTATTTCATTTATTGAAACTAATTGTACCAATGCTACGCATTTTGGAGTTCTGTCATGACTTATTGGGGAGACTCTTCTTCTTTAATTTCTTCACTGTTTGGTATGTGAGCCTTGATGAAAAACGACATTAAAAAGTTTTTGTGCACGAGAAAATCCTGATTTTACCGTGGAATGTTAAGAAAGTTAGTAGCCTCTTCTCCTTAATAAAGGTCATTAAATTTCTGTAGTTTTATCTGGATTAGTAAAGCTCGCAGTGACCTGAAATCTGTTAACTTGAAGCTTAAAGGTCCAATTATTTTTGATCTGTTTTTAAGTTAAGATCCGTTCACATTGTTCTTTTTGTAATAACAACGCCTTAAAAGTAGCACATAATTTAGGTCGGATTCCTCTACGTTGATAGCACCTTATCAGGCCTTCGACCTGCTTCAACAATTGCGACTGTAGACGATGAAAATGCTTTCTATGTTTTCGCTTGCCATGGAAAGAGCAAGTAAGGTTTTTAACAGGAAGCCTTTTAAAAGCAGCTCTATTTTTTTTAATATGTGGTGATATTCTATTTCGCATTTTACTAAGGTTTCTTGCAAATAAAATTGTTTTGACACGTAAATATAATTCCTGAAGCTTTCCTGAATTCCTGGGTTTTCAACAACTGACGATAATTTCTTGGTTAGTGGAATATTTGGAGGAGCGGGGTTGATATTTTGACAGCGGTGTAAGCAATATGAAGGACATTACCCTTTCGCGTTAATTATATATATGTATGTATATATATATATATATGGATATATATATATATGGATATATATATATATATATATATATATATATACTTAAATGCTTTCCCAACGGTTTACCGCCTCATCGTGGTTGGGAAGTGTTCCTGTGTGTCGGGCTGCAAGCAGTGCTTAGCGGGGGTCCTTGATCAATCCTTGAGGAATGAGTTATACATTCAACTTCATTGAGCATAGTTGGAGGTGATTGAGTGTATATCTAGCTTTTACAATGACTCGCACTGGCTTGCCGATGTATTGAGTCAGTGCTGCTACTTTTCCAGACAAGTATAGTACCAACTTGCCGACACCGGAGGGATGGAAGGCTTGTGAGCCACAGGCGCGGGGGTCGATCCCATGTGTGCATTGCAGGGCGCCTCCGACTACTGCGCCGCACACACATTGTTATTATTACTATTTATTATTATTGTCATTAACTATTACTACTGTCTTATTGTTACTATTATTGAAACTACAGGAGACTTTCATGGCATCCATTGTGTTGATCCCAGCACTTCTTTCATTATTCGATTCGTTCTCCTCACATTCATCGTCCACGAGGTCTTCGAACGTTTCGCATTTTGTTTCGGCTGCTGCTTGAGGATTTCATCTTCTTCATGAATGACGTAAATTGCTGGTCGAGTCGGTTCTCCTTGCAAGTTTGAAGATAGCCGAGCTGAGGCTTTCCCACGTGAATTTGAGGAGAGCGTTTTATAGGGTCGAACCAGAAACTTGATTCCCTTGATTCCTGCAGCACTATCCACTCTGCTGACCCCATCCCATACCCGTCACTGTATCATCCGTATTGCATCCTATATAGTTTTCATAGAACATTTTTTAGTTCTATTTATGTTTAGAGTTATACTTCTCAAAGAAATTAAGGACGTTACTTAAATTTCTTAAATTTCTTCCTATTTTTCCCAACGAAAGAGCGCCTGTTGCAGGCGTAATCGATAAATTCAAGAACACTATCGTATCTATTTTTATGAAATCCTGCTTGTTCCTTCCTTGAAATCCTTCAATACAAGTGCTTACGCAAAAAATTGGAGAAGAATACTTTCATGGGATCAGGAAAATCAGAATTTCAGTTCCCAGGATCGACTTTCCATCAACATCGGCAGAATTTCACTTCGGTACAGTAGTAAAACACGTACTTGCTTATCATTTCGATTAAGAAAATTCTGTATGAGCAGAGATACGTTGGATAAGTTCGAGACCGGTCATTATTTTATTACCAGCTGTATTGTAGTCAGTGCATGAAGGACATTATTCGCTAAGATAGTCGACTTATCACTTTTTGTCCTTTTGGATAGCGATTTCCTATTTCGAATTGGTTATATGTAAAGAAAGGCTTTTATTTGTCAATTTACTCTGGGTTTGAGTTGTGTTTGCAGCCACAACCTAAATATTTGATTTCCAGGCACATGGGATTGTGGTCGTATTCTGTTCTTCGTCAGAGCTCATTGCAGTTGTTCGAAGTAGGATCACAGCGACGTTCAGCTGAATACATTTTGCCCGCCGATGGCCTTTCTCAGTTACGAGGAAAATGTGTTGTTTTAATGAGAGATAGATTGATTTTGTGACTATAGTATACTCGTAGTTTTACCTTTTCCATCACCATAATCACTTGACATAGAAACACATCGTAGACAAA